ACTACTTCCCTACCTTTATTTCCCTCTTTCTCCAACCATGAAGAAGTAAGTACACAAAAGTTGGTACCTCATAGGTAAGTAGTAATTCTGTGTTGGGATATGTTACCTGAACACTTTGGGTAGTAATCAACAGTCATTTCATAGAATCATGTTTAAGATACAGAAGAGCATTAAGGATTTGTTAAGAAAATAAAATTTATTAAGAAAAATAAAATTTACAAAAAGTTAGAATAATCAATCAAAATACCTGTCATCAGTCTATTTATCTGGTTAATTATTTTGCCAGCAGGAATGTCTGGAATGATATCCCAATAGTTCTCTCCGAGAAGAAAGACACATCTGCTCATCTGATTATTTCCTTAGTTTTCCACTCTTATTAATAATAAAACAAAAATGTAATACTGTTGTTTTCAAGTCATTTATATTCCTATCTCTGAAAGCAATGTCTCAGAAAATATAGTTGGCTCCGAAGGAGGCATTTTCAATAGCTTCTCTAGCAACTTCATCTCAGGTAATGTTCTTTATTTTAGAGGACCATGTTCCCTTATTAAATAATAATAATGTAAGATCTTTCATTTTTTTATGTCAAAAGCAAAAACAGCACCACCCAGTTTTTTTTAACTGCCTAAAAAATCTCTCTCAGAGTTTTTTAAAAACTGCTGTATTTTCTCCTTTCCTCTTCTGTCTCTTCCCCACAGGCCAAAATATATTTCTTTGCATCATTTATTTGTGTCCTTGATCATTTCTGAAAGGGAGAAGAGAACCGAGCTGTGCTTCTAAACCCAGTTAGCACAGTGATTTCTGAGCAGGACTATTAGCTCTCCCCTTTCAGGTGCCACTGTCTTCTTTAACAAGCTATTGATTTCCCAAAGAAAGTGGAGATAGAAATCAAAATGCATCTAAGAAAATGAAGAAAGCAGAAGAAAATACACTGGAAAGAAAGAAGACCTAGGACAGTATTAAAGTGGAAATAAGGAAAATAAAATTCTTAGAACAATAGACTTGTGAGAGACCTTGAGAGGTCACAGCATCCAAGTGTGACTTTTAGGTAGACATTCTGTAGTACCACTCCTGCAATCTACCTTGGCTCATATGTTGTTGCTGTAATGCCCTATTCTGCCCTTGACCTTAGCATGAAAAATTTTTCCTAGATTTGTCCCATCAATTATTAATAATGTAATTTGGTGAACTATACCAAATTACCTTTGTCCCTTTAGTGATCAGAAGACAGAATGTGGGGGAATCTGATTATGCCATCCCTTTGTCAATCCTTGAGGAAGTTTCCTACCATAGATTTGCCTTCATCTAACCATGTGGCTTTAGGTTGATGAATGAGGCTGCTAAGTTTTACCTTGATTCATTTCTTCACAGAAGAGAATTCTCATTCTTCAGCAACGGCACAGGGAGGATTAGTACACAGGTCCCCTGATCTTTGGTCATGTGGCCAATTCACACGTCATCTTTAGACTAATCCTGAAGTATTGCTGTAATTTACTTTTTTGCTGAATGAAATAGTGTGTGAAACTCATGGTTGAGCTTCCAGTCCTCACTATAAAAACTGCTCTAATTTTTGAAGTAGAACAACAATCTTATCTTGAGATAAGTTGATCTTACTTGTGAGACGTTATCATAGGCATTTAATGATAGCATTATAAATATAAAATAAATATGTTAGTAACTTTAAGATGCTCTACAGACTCAAACCCTACAAAATATAAAAGTTTTAAATTCAGACCCCCAGATTTTCTGAAATTTAAAGTGATTTTATTCCACGATTTCAGTCAGATCAATGTGATCTGTAAGAATAAATTACATAATCATTTACCATCTCTCTATTTATCTGTAATAACCTATACCTAACCTCATTTTGAAAAAAGTATTTGTGACAGCTAACTAGCAATTGTAATTTTCTCATTCAGACAAACATTGCAGCTCAACGTAATACATATTACCCACCCTAAAAATTCTACAAAACAATTGTACTATACAAGTCTAAGATAATTCAAGGGAAATGCATGAATGTACAACTGTATTTCTACCTTGACGCTTTTTAATATCTTATAAATAACGAGCATGAATTGCTTAAATCCCTCAACAGAAATACAGTCTTTTAATAATACACTTGTTAGTCATTATCCTTCATGCAGTTCTCATCATCTTCTAATTAGGATGGTTTTCATTCATATCAATCATATACTTCTATAATTAATTTATTGCATCAGAAAAATTTTCATGTCCCACTACACTTGTAACTCACAAGCTATTAAAAGAATTGACGTGGAAAGGGGGCATCCAAGTATGTTTATTCTATCCAACTTTGTCTTCAGAGATTTTGGAATTCTAATTTTTCTTAAGTCTCAGGATGAGGAAAATGCCCACTGGGTACTAATACTCAAATCTGGCTCAAGGTGCTTAAATCCCTGCCACCCCAAACCCCCATAGACTCCCAGTCAGCCTCCCAGAAGAACACTTAATTTCCTCAGAAATATCTCCAGACCCTTTTTTATTCAAATCCCTTAACTATGTCCTAGTGTGTCTAGTTTCTGTTTTGTACCATTGACTATTCATAATATTAATAATATAATAATAGCACATGCTACATGTCAGGCACTATAGAATTTCTAAAGTTTTACAATAATTTCACCTTGAGATACAAGTAAATAAGAACAAACGCCAAGTTTTTTCACTGACCCTAAAGATTATGATGAGGACAAAAGTAGCAATCTAATTATTGTAAATAGATATTGAAAGCAAAACGGTTTTAGTTCTAGTGTGACTAAACTATGCATTCTTAATTTTAAAGCCAATAAAAATAATTTTCCATATCTACTGTGTGGATCTTAGAAAATAAAAAATCAATTACACTAACACCCAGCTTCTGGTATATCAACCTAATGTACATAGGCCAGTGAGGAATAGGTCTATTGTCTAGTAACAGGAACAGAGAGAAGAGTACTAGAAGACTGAACATTTATCATAGGGTGACACTGTAGTACTGAAATGTTGCTTGTTCAGAAAATGTCTTGAGATGCAACCTAGTGTCTTGGCTTTCCCCAAGCGCAAATAGGTGTGTTGGGGACCTAGCAACAAGGGCTATCAGGTGATGTTCTACAGATTGTGCAGTACCTAACTCTACGTGGCGCCATTGACATTGTACTCTAGAGTTTGTCTAACATGAACAGACGGGTACCCAGTAACACTGCCAGCACCCTCACTGTACGGGGAGGTCAATCACATGATGACCATTGCAAGATTTATCTATCTTGAGAAAGAGTACTGTGACAGGAGAAGATACTAGGCTAAGACCTAGAGATGGGCAATGGGGAAGATGGATAATTTTATCCAACCCATCAATAGGCTTTTGTTATCATTTTGTTTTTAAAAGTGTCCAAACGCAGTGAAGAGTTTTCAATGGATTATGGCCAAACATTTCCTCCTATCCTTAATTTTAAATTAATTTAGAGGCCAATTGGAACAGTTATTTTCATATATTATCTCACTCAGTACCATTTTTAAGGTAGTTCTATGATCTCCAATTTTACAGAGAAGAAAGTTTTATGAAGAGAAGTTTTTGTTTTGTTTTGTTTTGATTTTTAATTTCAAATGGTACCCAGTTAGTAAGCTCCAAAGCTGAGATTTAAATTCAGGAACACCCAACTTCGAAGTCATTGTTTTGTTTTGTTTTGTTTTTTTTCTTTTTTCCTTTTTGTCTTTTTGTCTTTTTTCGTGACCGGCAACGGATCGCAACCCTCAGTGTCGTGCCAGTACCGGACCGGGACCGGCAACAGGATCGCAACCCTCGGCATTGCTCCCGCACTTCGCTCAGCCAGTGAGCGGGAACTGGTCTGTATGTGGGATCCGAACCCTCGGCGGGAGCACTGCCGTGCTTCCCAAGCGGCGCACTGTAGCAGTGCGCCACCGGGCCGACCCCGAAGTCATTGTTTTTAAGTACTGTTCATTTACTCTTTTCTACCAAACTTACACAGATGTTTAACTCATGCCTAGAATGGAATTCAGAAAGATGTTTTTGAGGTCACTCAGGTAAGGTCATGAAGGGTGGAAAGGTATATTTATTTTGCTAATTTTCTCACCTTTAACTAAATGCTTTCCCAAAATCCTCACATAAAACTTAATCACTTAATCAAAGTGCCAAAATAATTTTTTGATCTACTCTATACTGTATATTATCATTTATTTTATGGGGTCTGGGTTCTTCTGGAACAGCATTTCCAATTAAGTCAAAATATCTCTGCCTGAAATATTTGTATGACATTCTTTTTTTTTAAATCAAAGTAATGTTATGATATGTTTGGTTTTATTCCTTAAAAATTGATAATGTTCTATAGCTGAATGCCAATTATAACAATTCCAAAGTTTGATTTTTTTTTAATGCTTAGCCAAATTATCTTGAAATTCTAAATCATTTAGTGTATGAGAATACTTCAGAAAGTTTGAGGAAAAATAGAATTAAAATATAATACAAATTGGGCCAGCCCAGTGGCGCACTGGAGAGTGTGCCGCTTGAGAGCGCGGCGGCACTCCCGCCGAGGGTTCGGATCCCATGTGGTGACCGGTTCCCGCTCACTGGCTGAGTGCGGTGCGGGCGCAACACCGAGGGTTGCGATCCCGTTACCAGTCAGTAAAAAAGACAAAAAGGAAAAAAATAATAATAATAATAATACAAATCTTCCCATAAACTTTTCGAAGACCCTTTGTATTTGTAAAATTGGAATAATTAAAGAATAAAGCAGAATAATTGCCACTGTAATAATGCTTTGTTGATCATAGCATCTTTCTAATAAATAAACATAGTCTCTCTTTCCAAGTCTCTCTCTCTCTCTCTCTCTCCCTCCCTCTCTCCACACACACACACACACACACACACACACACACACACACATTGTTCTTATTGATTCTTTATGTTCCCAAGTAAGCTAGCTAGTACACAGGAACATCCAGATTGTCAGGAGGCTTATGTGAATCAGTGAAATTACCAAATATAAACTTCAGTAATAAATTCAAGGATACAGGCAATCATGAGGAATAGACAAGCAGACAGAAATTCGGGACATCAAGGGTGGTTCTGCATTGGACATACAATCTCTGGCAAAGAATAATAGCTGAGTTCTCCTAGCGAGGTTTTGCGAGGTTTCTCCTACAATAGGGAACATTTAAGTTATAAAAAATTTCCATTTTGCGTGCAGAGAGTTATATAGCTTAGGTAACATTCTCAAGGAAGCCATGTGTCATAGATTATGGGTTTATTTACTCTCGGTAATTATTTAACCATGGACACCCCGCTAAGGCCATTCTGTAGATAAGAGTCTTTCCTTGTAGCAAATAATATTAGTTTGTTTACCCAGTGGTACGGTTGATAAAGTGATTAAACCTGATCACCTGCTTCTTTTCTTTCTCCAGAGGGCATCTCTCTGGTAAAGAGAATGAATAGATTGCAGGCTAGCTGCTATAACACCTTTCTCCCACAGGGTATGAAATATGGTGGAATTCTTTTCTTTGTTTTTTTCTCCTTTTTCTGTCTTTCTCTCTTTCTTTCCTAGAGAAATTGCAGCTCAAACGTTGCCAGCCATATCTGTGCCAAGCAGTTCTGTCTACAAGTCATTTGAGAGCATATTTTCATTGTTTTCATGAAAATTAATCTGAGTGATCTCTCTATGAAACAATAATGCAAGTAGGTGCCCAACGGTATGAGTAAAAGACAGGAAACACCTGTTTGTTTCTCTTTTAGGGCACTGGAATAAGTTAAGTTAGTCAAGTTTGCACTCACCTTGGAGAGGATGGGAAAAGGATCCACATTTTCTTTCATCGTGAGACTATGTCTGATGAAATGAGATAATGTCTAAGGGAAGCTGTTGTCATCAAGAAGGTACTCATCATAAGGACAGTGAGGGCATACACTTTAATTCACTATGTGGCAGAAGTGAGGCTTTTCTTCTGACCCAAGTGCTCTAGCACCACAAGAGTGCTTTAGGAATAATTACTGTGCATGTGAAAGTAAAAGAAAAAATTGCCTTTATGGAATTGCACTCAAAAGGAGGTAAGAGATGACAGTATGTAAAATAACACTGAGAGGTCTCCTCTTGCTTCTCCTCTGTTTATGGAACAGAAATGTTTATTGTGCCTTGATGATTTCTACTGAAAAAATGTGACAACATCAAATTGTGCAAATGTTAAATTAGTGACAGAGTCTTTCTCTATGTGGCATTGACTAAGGACTGCCCTTTGTATGTGTCAGGCAGTGAAGAGCTCCAGCTCAGACTGATAGGAGGGCCGTGCATCTAGAAGATGTGCCAGAGACACAGAACAAGCCATATTGAGCATTGAGGATTTACCTTCCAGCATGACCAGGCTGTGGTGATCCAATGGTGGTTAAGGGGTCGGTAGCTGTGATGGCATCAGTGGAACAGGATTGCCTGCTGCTGTTCCAGGAAGGAGCTGCCTTAGGCTCAGTAGCACCCTGTCATGGTATCACAGTCAGCTCTCAGATGGAGTCTTCAGTGTGCAGGCTTGAGTTTAATAACAGATGGACAAGCACTCAGTCTAGGCCAATTCTAGAAAAGAAAAAAAAAAAAAAGGAAAGAAGGAAGGAAGGAAGTCAGGCAGGTGTTTTGAGATAATGATAGGAGGAAGAATTCTGAGATTTTTCCTGTACTGGCAAATGTGTGAATAAGAAACATAAACTTATCTTTTTCTCTAGACAGGACCACCATATAAAATTGTGCAAATGTAAATAGTCTCCATTGATTTGTGCAATGTATTGGCCTGATCCCGATTGGTGAAGCTGGTCATATTGCTTATAATCTAGATGCAGAAAGAGAAAACACTGAGTATTCTATAATCACATAAATAGGGATTAATATATTTTAATTCAGTCTAGTTCACTATTTGCCTGTCTGATTCTCTGCCTTAGAATAAGTTAACTGAGAAAAGAGGGAGTCCTGTCTTTGGGGCAGATGACTTATCATGTTGAAATAGAGTAGGACTCAGTGAATTATATAACATAACTGTTGTCATGAAAAGAAAGTTTCAAAGAACTATCTAGTCTAGTTGGATTTTCTTGCACCTACGTTGTGCTAGGTACTTGTCAGTCTAGACAGTAAAGCCTCTGTGGATATATTATTATTTTACAAACAAATCCACAGTTATATCCTTATTTATATAAATTTTATCAATTCTTTTACATGCATTTAAAAAACAGTATTTGTTAATATTATCTTATTAATAAAAATAGTGTTCACTATACTGATTGATGTATGGATAAAATGCTGATTCTGCCATATTCTCAATACTTTTACGGCAGCCTGAGACTACTAATTGGAAAAGAAGGGGGACAACTGAACACTACAACTTTCACTTTATGAAGTTCTTGCCATTTCTTCATATCTCTCTTTTCCCCTTCTCTCTCTCTATGCAAAATTCCTCATCAATATTCCCACTATTAATAAATATTAATCTATAAAAATTAATATTAAAATAGAATGTGATAAGATATGCAGACAAGCAGAAACATGTTAAAATTCTTCCCTATTTTCTCTAAGGAAATAATTACCTTAAGGCTGAAAAATTTAAATGCTCAGCCTTCTGCCTCTAGACTTTATTTTACCACTTTTGATTAACTTTGGTTAACTAATTGTGAGAAAACAAATCTTGCTAGTGCCCAGTTTTCTTGCTGTGGCCCCTCTGATCTATGAAATTTATATAAACTAAGACATTAAAAAAAGAAATACTAGTTCTGACTCTCCAGATCTGAGCTGCTTGGCAAATATCTAGAGGTACTTCTTAAAATGAATGTCACAAGGATTACAAAACAGAAGGTCATCAAAAGCCTCCAATTCTTGCTTTCAGAATTTGTTTCTGGCAATCTTTTAACTAGATTCTCAAAAACTTCTCAATGCAAGACCTAAAACATGTTAGACAAAATACAACAAATATTCTTCTAAATGCATAACTGAACTCACTAGGAAATAAGGATAATTTCCAGAAATCAGAATTCAAAGAGTGATAGGAATCAGAATGGCAGGCTGATGCTGAAGCCATGGATGCCCTAGGGGAGCTTGTCAATCTCAGTAACCAAGAAGTTTAGTTTTTTATGGCCGTACCCAGAACAGTAGAAATGACCTTAAGTCCAAACAAGATGACAGGTGAGAGTACAGTCTACTTCAAAAGGACAGGAACTGAGAAACACTATGCCCTCATTGAAAGATAAACTAGAAAACATCCATGAAAAAGGGAATAGTTGAGAAGGAAACTTGTTTATCTTAGCCTGTAATCTGCTAAGAAAAACAAATGTCTACCCCAATAATTTAGTATTAGAAAACTTTCCTTATGCAGGTTTAGCTTAAATACCCCTGGAAGCTCAACATTAAACAGTAATGCAGGTTAGTTCCTGGTTGGCAGTACCTTGTGGACAACTGGCAGAAACAAATGAAAATCTATCTCTAGAGGGCCCACCCTCATTTCAAACCTTGCTGGTTTCCCACAGATGAATCTCCAGCATGGAAGAGCTCACAATACACGAAGAAAACAAAAACATGGGGAACCATGCCACCCCAAATAGAATTAGCAGAAAAAATAAAGAATACGAATAGATCTCACAAAAATCCAGACAAAAAAATCATTAGACATGGTACATAAACCACATACATTTATAGCACTTAAGTAAATATCATAAGTTTTCAAAACTTAAAATAGGAATAAAATATTAATAATAAAAACCAGGGTGATATGGAAAAAATAAATATAAATGGTAGGGATAAAATATGATAAATACAATTAAAATCTAATGGACACATCAGTTCAAATTAAATAGATAAATACTGCACTGCAATATAGATCAGAAGAAATTCACAAAATGTATTTCAGAGAGACAGGAAGTGAAATATGAAAGAAACATATAGATAGAATAAGAAGGCCTAGTTGGAGATAAAGAATGGAAAGCATAAGAAGAGAAAGTATTCTAAAAATTCCAGCTGATAATTTTCCATAATTGATGAAACAGGTATGAAACTTCAGATTTAACTAGCATAGCAAATTCCAAATGAGATAAATATAAATAAAATAAATACATGCAGACATAACATATTGAACCTGCAGAGCACCAAATACAAAGGGATTGTAAAAGTCATCAAAGAGAATAGACAGATTACATGTAAAATGACACCTCAACAACAATAGAAAGTAAGAGAGGTTTCTGGGCTAGGAAAAGCACCGTGATTGGGAAGGAGGTTAGGACAGGAGAGGCCCCTCCGTAATCATTTTAAGTGCCCTTACTCTTCTGGACTTGTGTTCTTTTTCAGAAAACACTACAGCTCTAGCTCACAACTATATTCCGCTTCTCCTTAAGTACTTCAGAAGCAGAAAACATAGGCTTTCAAGTGTAATCACGATACAAGTGGCAGAGCAGAATCCTCTCAATATTGTATTATGTGTATCATCTCTGAACCTCAGTTTTTTCACTTGTCAAATGGGTTTAATACCTGCCTTCCAATAGAGAGTCCCCTTTGTTTAAACTTCCACTGCCCTCAAGAATCCTGATGCTTTCCTCTCTGCTTTTTCTTCTGGATGCAGCTAATGTCAGCCCTCTGCTCCCACTCTTCATCTAGTCAAACTGAAATATTTGCTTTTCTGGAGTGAGCAAAATTCTCTTAGCATGCAGTTTCTTTTGCCTAAAAGATATTTCTTCTCGTAACGCGTCACCTGCTTATTTTCTATTTATATTTTTGTTCTCAATTTAGATGTGACCACTTCCTGCAAGTCTCTTCTGATTTCTGTCCACCTCTAGATTAAACATGCTTCCCATTGCTTTAAAACCCTATGCAAACTCCTATAATTAACATTTTTGCAAGTTTACCATATATATTTGTATGTCTATCTCCCTCACTAGACCTTAAAATTCTACAGGGCAGTAAACATGTCTGTATAGTTGTAGCAAATCAGTTATAGCTCACATTTTTAGCATTAGTAATAATTTTATTAATATCTGTTGAATAAAGAATAATTATGCTTGTGAGGACTTTCACTAATGATCATTGTAATTGAAAAATCAATATCTAATGATAGCAGGTTACATTAATTTAACACTTACTCTGGACCAGGTATAGGATGTCTTTAAAACTTACCTGGCTCCCTCCCAGTTGCCTTTCTTCTTCACCATTTTTCTTTAACTCCCTTCTGTCTTTAGCAGTTCAAAGATCACCTGTTTGAATAACCAAGCAAAGAACCATTCTGTCAATCCCCACAAAAAAAACTCATTTATTTGGATGAACGAAAGAGGCAGATTATTCAACTTGACATTGGTCAGTGGTACGAACTCCTTATTGCTTCTCATTTATGAGATTATGGAGGGAATTTGGATGCTGTATTTTGTTGTGAATCCTGTAAGAGATAAACTTCCAGGAGAAATAAAAAGTTTTCTAGATTTTGGTTTATTTGTTTTAATCAAATGACTAATATAAAAAACAAAGGAGCTGAAATACTAAATGGAAATAGATACCTTTTTCTTTGTCTTTGCTTTTGGAAATTTTTTGAGGGACACAGTAAAAGGAAAGACCTATAAAAGGGTTTTGGGGCTAGACCATCTCCAGAATTTTGCTAAAGCTTGGAGCCAGGCCCTAGCTACATGGTAATGTGGAATGATTCATGGTAGAGAATCACCAGGGTATTCCAATCTCCTGAATGCTTTCAGGATGGCACAGACTGTCATCCATGCCCACAGATCCAGGAAGAGATTTCCTGGAACCTCTGAAAGGTTTAGCAAGTTGCTGAAGCCCGGTAATTGCTCTGCCCAGTGGACCACACCACCTCATTATCCTCTGAAGCTTTTTGAAGTTACACATGCAATAGGAGATGGTTGTAGATTTAATCAAATAAAATTGTCCTTGTAGAGATCACACATATGTATTAAGACTTTTTTAAAAGACTGATAATAGCAAACCACCAGGTTGAACTGAAGATGAATCATTGCACAGAAAGAATTCAGTCCTTTTTTTCATCATTCACAAGGCATGATCAAACAAGAACAAAGGTAAGTCATCTCTGCAGTTATTTGTCTTTATTAAAATATGCCATTTTCTTCATTTAATACACATTTTTGTTTAATGACGATGCAATATTTAAAGAGGGCATATAAGAGTTGTTATACACAAACATAGAAGCTGTAACCATTATCTAATAAACATGACTATTAATAATAAACCAAAACAATGGAACTAAACAAAACCTTGCATCTAAATTGAAAAAGAAATGAATATCAGCAAGTCTGCTATAGAAAGAATACCAAAAAAAAAAAAATGAATTTGAGCTTCTTGAGAGCAGGGATTGTGTTTTTGTCATATATATTCTTAGTTCAGCAATGCACAAAGTAGATGTTTAATAAATGTTGGTTAAATTTAACTGT